TAATCTATCTCTTAAAAAATATCACAATCTGAATTCAAATAAAAGTGCCGTAAGTATAGATATTTAGTATTGGAGAAATCGATAAGCTTTTTCTATATATATATTTCTTTTGTACGCAGAAGTACTCATTTCTTTTGATTTGCTGTTTTTCCACTGGAGAAGTTGTTTTTGAAACCTATTTTGGCATTTTTATTTCAGGCACATGAGATAACATCTGAAATTAGTCGAGAATATTTTTCCAACATTTGGTTTATATATCAGTTATCGTTATATACATTTTTTATGAATGATCTTCGTGAATTTGAAATACCAGGTTTATTAGATAATAATTCTATCTATGACTTTTTCTATATTAACTACGATCAATGGTACAATGATTTTGTTAATCATTGGGCAACTCATCATCGAACACATCCATGTGCAGCAACAAGAAAGAATATAGATCCTGGCTGTATGAGATGTTTTGTCTTGGATGGCATGCAAAAGTTGCGAGACCAATTTGTACCAATAAGAATAAACAGGAATGTACCGAAGAATTTCCTGATGGAATTTACATCGGCTGTGGTAACACACCGAAAGCAAAGTCCGGCTTATGTGAACCATGCCGTGAATCCATTTTATTAAAAGATAGTGAAACATCTTTATTAACTGATGATGACAAAGGGATTTATGATGATCCATTGATGGGATGCAATGTTTCTAGAGGAGATCGGTATGTTGGTAGTATATCGATATTAGCATAGATAGTTTATTTTCTAGTTTCGTGGGCCTAGAAAAGCGATCATCACAAGGTATTATTTACACATTATCTCCGTGTGGAATAGTTGTCGGCTTTTATGAAATTTTTCGATCAGAATCTTGCTTTATCGCTTTACGACATTTATTCAAAAGTATACATGTTATCAATAGTCAATATCATCAATACTTACCAAAAATGATTATTTATGATAACGCTTGCAGCTTAAATATCTACTTTTGGAATCGATATGGCAAAAGCGATCGTAATCGACATATTCCACAAACATTATCATCAAAATTTATTTCTGAATGTTCCTTCTTCATCGATCGATTCCATCAACCGAATCACAAACGGCCTATGTGCCAAAAAGAAAGAAACTTAGACTACATTCACACAGATGAAGCAGCTAAAAGTATTAATACTGAAGTTGCGGAACAAAGAAACAGTGTCTTGAAACAATATCACAATGCTCTATCATCGTACTCATCAAAGAAAGCTCGTATTGCTTATTTGGTATTATTCCATCTGATGAATTGTGAACGTAATACTTGTGACAATCAATTCGAATATAGTCGAAAATACGTTAAAGGTTAGTTTTGCGAACACTTCTGAAAACTTTTCTCTAAAAAAAAGAAAGAAACGATAACAAAGTCACCAACTCACAATTGGTTATATGTGTTTTATTTAGGCTCCTCTTCGTCGACATGTATGATTAGCTGTTCCGTTATGGATACAGACAATAACGTCGGCAATCCATTTTAAAAAACGTTACTTGGTAAGCTTTCTTCTTAAACTACAGCCATGAATAGCACGATATTTAATCCATATTCATAACTTGTTCATATTTAGATCATCAAAAACCTTGATTTGTCAATGATATCACAATACATAGAACTTGCGCGTAGTTTCTTTCATACAACTCATTATTTTTTTCTCTGATTTTTTTTCATACATACCTCTACATGTTTTGCGTCTTTTTCTAATCGAAAATATAACATATTGTTAACTACAAAATAGGAGAACAACCTATACAACAAAGAAAACAGTGGATTTTCATAAGAATGACAATATATAACTTGCTAATATTTCATATACAACTCGATTCTTTATTGCTATATAGCATGACATTTCCAATACTTTAAACCGAACGTCAACACATTCATAATTCATTTGTGTAAACACATTCCCACCATTCACGGCTATTTTAGAGATAAGAAAATCTTAAATATTTGTAGTTCTCATACATATCTACCTTGCCTGTCTTAATTCAAACAGTTAATCAGAGTACATGATTATATACGATAGTACATAACCACCTATTCTAAGTTTTTTGGATATATTCTCAGAGTGCATGACTTTACATGACTTTACATGATAGTACATAGCCACCTATTCTAAGTTTTTTGGATACATTCTCAGAGTACATGACTTTACATGACTTTACATGATAGTACATAGCCACCTATTCTGATTTGTATAGGTATATAATTTTTCAGAGTACAAATTGTATTTGTATTCACGCATCTTTGTCTGCAATACATTTCAGTTCAATAGCATTCGAAAAAAAAAATATTTAAAACAAGATCTAAAACAAACAACCGAATATAAATCACTACTTCAAAATTCATTTCGTTTCTGTTTCAGATACTATAAATACGACCATTACATATTTTTCAAGACTCAATAATGATATAAAAAAAACACCAACAGCAAATAGCGAAACAACAGTAGTCTTTCAACCTACTTCATATGAAATCAAACAATCCCACTGCTTATATCCACCGGAACAACAACATAACCCAACCAACGAAAAACCAACAAAAAAATTAATTCAGCAAAACAAAATCAAACAACAGTAATATCATTCATTCAACAACGATCACCAACCGAATAATGATTTGTGAAAGGAAATCTTCTATTACATTATTATTTTTATATAATTTTGTAAATTCTTGAAGATATTAGAATTTGTTTTGAATTTTCGATTAAGAATAATTCAAGATATTTTAAGCCATCTGATGATTCCTTTAGCCGGGATGAAATCTAGATCATGGCAGCTAATTCACACTACAGTTATTTGAAATTATCAACATTTATATATGAGTTAATTTAATTCTATATTTATGTCAGATATATTTTTATCTTGTGATTTTTTAAATTTATTTATTTAAATTTAATTTTATCATTTAGATTATTTGTCAACTGATGATTCCCTTCAGCAAGGATGAAACTAGTCTTGACTGCTGTTCACACCCACACCCCACACCCGCGTCCGTTATTCAAATATAGAAGTTACTAATCAGAAGCGTTCTAAATAGAGATATATACATACATGCGCTATTGCTATTAATGATATCTGTTTTTAGGTAGATGGAGTGATTTCTCATGGTTAGTATCCACACAGAGTCACCTTTTTAATGCAAACCCTGTATAAACGTATATTTTCTTTTTCGTTTCTTTCATTTAAAAAAATATATACTTTAATTTGAAGGTCGTCGAACCGAACCAAATATTATTGAAAACGAGCCGAATTGAAAGATAATTTTTTTTAGAAATTTTTAACCGTACTGGTCCCATCACTGTTATCAATATCCTTGATGTCGGTCACGTAAGTAGAAAAAAAGCCTGATTCAGTAGCTCATTTTGTCACAGTAAAACACTCCACAAGCGCACGCTATAGTTAGATTACAGGAGCAGAAAAGAAAACCATCGGTATGTGACGATGAAAAAAAAGTAATTTTGTTGCTCGTTTCTGACTGTACAGACCTTTAATATAAAAAGGAGTAGATCAAAACAAAACTACTCACAAAAGTTGATTCTCTGGGGGCTCATTGTGATGAATTAAAAAATGTTACTAACAACAATCGTCGTAATTTTATCATTTATTATCGTACTCTATTTTTATCTGAAGATAAAATACTTCACCTTACGTGGCATTGCACCAGGTCTGAAACCACAGTTTCTGTTGGGTAATGTGTTACAAACAGGTGTTCTTGATGGTGAATCGTTAGTTACAAATCATACATATATTATGTATCAAATTTTTGACAATTTTTGTATTTTTTTAAATTATATTGTAGTTTTACTTGAAATTTTATTGAATATTTAGAAATAGGGTATAGGTGTGGTGGATGGATGAATGTGAGTGAGTGTTAGCGTCAGTAGATGACACTCACTGACGCTAAACGTTTATTCGTGTTATCTGTTGTTATGATCTCTATTTTGATTTGTTACGTAATATTTCGACTATGACTAATCCTCGTGATTGGTTTTCGTTCGTTATTGCGCAGTTGTTCATGTTTTCTCGTATCGAATACTCGACACTTAATATATTCTATATATGATACAACGACAAAGTCGATTATAAAACATGTTTGGCTCTCTATTTTTGGCAGACTAAATATTAGTTTTACCATTGCTACATAATCCCCAAACGAGAGGTAACAGTGAGCAAATACCTATACCAACACTCATGTCACATGATGCATATTTGTATAAACTTCACTATTTGAACATGAATAAGGCAAAAGAATAATAGCTAAAAGAATCTAGATTGATATCAATATAAATATAATAGACAACAACCATTCAGAATAAGATGAACAGACTCAAATATAGAAAATGTAGTTTACTTGTCTGTAGTAGAATTTCAGAATTTTCATTTTTGCTTCGGTTCGTTTAAAATTTTGAAAAGCTTGCACCGTGTCTATCTCTGCTGAGTAGACTACCGCCAATGAGAGACAATTTTTTCAAAATTTATTCTCGACAGAAGTTATAAAATTCCTTTTTCATATCAATTATACACAACACATCCTTGCGTTTTCTAAACGAAGTAATTGATTCTTTATTCTTGGTCCGCTCTATATATTTCTTGAAATTAAAAGTAACCTTGCATACTCTAATATAAATACAAATGAATATATATATATATTTACACGTATGTACATTTGAAAAATGTAGAACGGTAAAGAGTGTTTTCTTTTCTTTCCAAGAATGATGATTAATGATCTGGAAAACGTCCATTTCTTCCAAGAGTTCATTCTTAGGCATTCCGTTACAGAACGCGAAGGAACGCAATTTCCTCAACATGGAACTCAATCCTGTCCTTTCCCAAATAGAATGAAAATAAAATCATTCTAATAATGAATGGAACGGTTAAGAAGGCTTTCTATTCTGATGAAGAAAGATTTTTGAACTAGGAAGAAAACATACCATAACAATATAGAACATTGAAGAATGCATTCACTCAGATGTTGAACGAGTTTTTTTCAGTACTGAACACATTCGTCAACTAATAGAATGCGTTCTTTATGAAAATATAGCTTTCCCTATTCTGTCGATTTTTCACTGGGTAGTATAGAGACTTGTGGGTGTGGTTGTAGATCTGCATCTAGATTAGGACGCTATACACACTCATGCCCATACCCATACCCTTATTTTAATGTTTGTAGTATCGAAAACCTAAAACTTCATTTCAAAAGTTTCCAAAATCGCTTCATCCAATAGTCGAGTAATTTAGCAAATCACAGAAAATTAACCTAGAAATTACTGAACGAATTATACAGCTCAAGAGAGAGCACATTTTCCCTTCCTTTCTTCTTAGTTCAAGATTTCATCAGAAATCGTCTCCTTAAAAGATTTGAGTTAACTTTCATTTAATAGCAGACTATCTGTAATGTTACAGAAGTATTTCACAGAACTAGGTAGTTTTTTCTTCAAAACAGATCTATCATCGATCATATCGATCTAATTATTATTCCATAGAGTATAAATTTATCTGATTAATTGAATAACATATTGAACAAAATCACTAAAATGCAGTACTACCATAATTTTGGTGTCATAATCCAAAACCGTTTTGGTTATGCGTCTTTTACGAAGTACAAACAAGATGCCGACTTTAGAAACAGTGGAAAATACTACAGATAACTGTTACACTCTCTTATCTATGATAATGACATACACATAACATTGGTTGTGATTGTTTGCGAGTGGTAAGACAACAGGACGATTAAGAAAATTATGCAAATTTTTTAGATTTCATGTTGATGAAATGAAGATTAACTGTAGTATTGGCTAACAGCTTTCAGCGCATTTTCTGTAGGGTGTAACATGGAAAGCACGATGGACTACAGTTGGAAAAACAATTGTCGTCTTCTGTGAATGAGATCGAACGGAGACGAGTTGAGTTAACTACACGCTATGCTGCTTTTTTAAAATCCTGTTACATAAGAGTCATACATTAATAATCTGGTGACTGGGTGAATAATAATTCAAATAAAGTATCATTCTACACTATTTTTGCGCTTCTGATGTTGTATGAAAACTTGAACTGTAGTGTTTTTAGGTGATATCCAGGGTAACTAATACTGCAAATTACGAAGTTTGGCACTGTGAACTTTAACTGAACATGTTGTTTCCTTATTAAATTTATTTTCTATTTAAGTTTCCTCGTTGCTGATCGTAAACTTCATAAGATCTGCATAAAACCTTCGTGAAATTAAGCTTTGGGAAATGGTAGATTGAGACCAGTTAGTGTGAGTCATCAAAGAACTCTTCAGTTAAACTTGAGCTCAAGTCATCTACGAATTCTATGATTTCACTGAAGATAATCATGAACTAATTGCAATCCATTCCTAATTACAGTAACTCGCTTAAAAAGACAAATTAAGCAATCTGGATTGTCTAGAACGATATCGATAGTTTGAATGTTTTTTGCCACAACTCGTAATATGTGAATATTAATATAACGTGTATTCTAAATTACAAAAAGATTATGGAGATATATTTCAGTTTTGGTTAGGCACTTATCATTTTTATGTATTTAATAAAGCCGAACACGCACAGCAAATATTTAGTAACCGGCAAATTTATGATCTAGGTGATATTGTCCAAAATAGTTTCAGTTTGATTTATGAACATGGATTCTTTGCAATTAAATCTGCAAAATATAAAAGACACGCTCGTGCATTTATGCCTCTGTTAAGAAAAAATAAAGTCACAAAGCATTTGAATAAAATTGTTGATAGCATGGATAAATTTATTAGCAATTGGAAAACATACAATGGTCCTCATTATTTAAATAGCAAAATTGTCGAAGAAACACAAAGTTTGTCGTTTGATATTCTGATGGCTTTACTTCTATCAGACAAAGATTTGCATGAAGTATATATAAATCGGCAACAAGTTTTGAGTTCAGCGCTGCAAACTGTATCTGACATCAATTATTCTGCATTAAGCTTATCAATTTTTTTGCCAAGTTGCTTACTTCGTATGTATTTAAGATTCAATAGAAAATATCAAAAAGCGCAAAATATATGGAGAGAATTTATAAACGATATTATAAATCGAGAATTGGATAGGTTGCGTCAAATCGAAAAACATGAAAGAACAAATTTGATCGCATCGGTGGTAGCATCATTGCAAACGGATGAGGCAAAAGAAATGAAGAAGCGAGAAGAAGAAAAACAAGGTGAGTGATCGAGAACAAGGATGATAGTTGTTGAATGATGCAGTCGTCCTTAGTCATATTTTTTTCTTATTAGATGCTAGATGAATCATCACATGAATGCGTAGAAACGACATTTATCTCATAAAAATGCTTATTGTTTTACAAGGGGGATAAACAGGAACCCAGATCCCAGCATATCGCAGTAGATCCCATCAGCTCCAGCGGATCATACTAGATGCCGCAAAATTTTATTGTTGTATAGCAAATAGATAAAACATAGTGGGGTAATGAGAACGATGCGCAATTTCCCTTTCTCCGTAACGAAAGACTCTGGCTCTTCTATTACGCTCCATTGTAAAACTTTTTCAGTGGATTTTCCTATTGAGTTTCAAATTGTTTTTCCAATATTTTATTCAAAAGTTTTGCCAAGAACCAAAACAATTTTAAGAATTTTAAGAGTGTAATGATAATTCTGAAGGCACGTTTAATATTTCAAGCTCAAAAACAGGAGAAAAAGGCATATTTTAATGACAAATCACTAATACAATCTTCTATTGTTTCTGACGAACATTTTCTCGTGAAGCCTTATTAATATGGGGAAGGGATTAATATGTAAAATTCAAATTCTATTCTAACAAAGAAAGACATATACATTGAGTAATTTTATAACATCTCACATCAATCTATCACAATTCATATTGAGATATGTTAAAACAGACAGAAGTTTGAACTGAGACTAGCTGAATAATATTAAAGGCAATTATATATTTTTGTAATTTATCATCCTAGCTCAAAAATTCAGCCACGTACAACCCAATCCAATTCAGATTTCATCAGATGTTCCTGGAATCCGATGAGACTCGATAAAATTTGGTCATAAGCTGATCTTATTTAACTAGGTTTCATATCACATTCCGAGATCACTAGATTTTAGTTGAATTTCGATAGAGACTAACCGATTTTAAGATGAGATAATAGAATCCGATAAATTAGCTTCGTCATGAGATTCTTAATTCTGATAGAAATCATCATTTTCTTCAATAATCATATAATTTTCGTCAAAAAAACCTATATTTTTACCATTCAGTACAAGTTATATACCGACTGCTGATTAAAATAAATTCCTATCAGAAATCTTTTTCTACTCAGCTGAATAACAATCAATTTTTGTTCAAAAATTCTTAGGTGTTGTTCAAATGCTGCTATTGAACTTGCAATGAATAAAAAACATCAATAAACTTTGAAAAGTGCCAAATTTTTCCTATATTCAGTAACCATTGCAAAGAATTTATTTTATCTCGACAATAGTATTATTTTTCCGAGTAGTGCTCACTTCTTTCACAGGAGATGCGGGGATTTGCTGTTGGAGATGTGTCAGGTCATTGAGAGATGTACAACTCTCACACTTTGTGCTGCATCTTCCGGCAAAAATGTGAGCACTTCTCCAAAATTTTGGATATATGACACTACTGATTTTTCCTGATGAACATAAGTGAATAATTAATGTTTAAATCAGAGACCTTCATTTCAACATGACAAACTATTCAATATGCCAACAGACATCATCACAGAAATAGTTCAGGACAGAAACTTTATTTTGAACTGATGCATATGGATAGTCATAATACAGTATGCACAATTGAATGCCTTAATGGTTAGCTTCCAGTGTGCTGAGAAGTGGTAAAATCTTCACTTAGTAATTAAATATTAAAAAATATCCCATAGATAAGTTGCAGTTATGGCACATTTAGTAATATCGGTACAGTTGTTCTGCGTATATATTGATGTTAAATTTCTTATAATACACGTCAAGTTAATTTCTTTTGTTCTTGTAAACGCATAAAAGAATAAATTATGCTAATGAGATCAGTGAATTTCGATGGATCCCGGGATCCGCTTTCCCCCCTTGTTGTTTCAACATCTAAGTAATTCAGGACCGAATGGATTGGATTGAATGAATATATTGATGTAAAATAGTCTTTCCATAATTTTCAGAAAGGAGAACATATTTGAAACACCATTCAGATCTCCGAGATGACAAATAGAATCACAAACTGTAGCTAATGCCGCTATGCTAAACTTTTAAATAGAATATTCTGTTCTTTTTAATATGTAGTATTTACACATCGTAGAATTTGATACCCCAGTAAAATATCTTGCGAGTAAAATCTTATCAAGATCGTGAAAAGATGATTTTACCTCGACAGCTTGGTTACTTTAGATGTATATGTATCTAATAAGATTTTGCCATGAACATAGAAAAGATTTGGTTTATTATTATCTTCTCAAAAGATCTTCAATGAAATAAAAAGGTGATAATACTAATGTGTTCACATATTAGTTAGTTATTTAACGACTATTTGTTCAAATGAAGCTACACATAAACAATTCAGTTCAACACATTACAAAAGATAGATTGTGAGAATAATTTCTTTTCATACTATTTCTCGGCTACTTCCGCTCATGATTATGATTATATTAATGTCAATAAGTGATCGTGGGTGAATAGCCCTGAAGCAGTCTGATAAAGATCACATAATCTCCAATTCAGGCAAATTCCAAGGTCTGATTTACTGCAGTTATGCTGAGTTAGAATCTTTAAAATCACAATAAAGTAAAAATGAATGAGCGTACTATGTTATAGGATCAAATCGTGCGTTGATAATGTATTATGCTGCTCTGTCACAAATCATGATGAACACAACCCATTTTATCATATTACAATTCAAGAGCTTAGGAATACGTGCCTAAGGTCTTATAAATATGTAGCCAATCTGTTGGTCAATAGCTAGCAAGATGCTTCACTAAGGTACTCTGTAATCCATTAAGCAGTATTTTATGAAAAAGAAAGTGCCACTTAATCAGTGAATTATAACTTATCAGTATGTACTAAACAGACATTGAATCGAAGTAAAAAATCGCGAACCTCATTTAGACTTTCTAATATTGCATTTTCAAGAACATGGAAGTCGGCACGGCTGCACCTGTGGTTCCTGACTGAATTAAGATAGAATTGATGGGTACCGAACTAGGGGTGGCACTTTAACTTCAAAAGTTAAAGTAAAGCGAAAATAAGGGTCTTTTTTTAGACTTTAAGGGTGTGGGTGTAGATCTGCACCTGGATTAGGACGCTATACACACCGATACACACGCCCTCATCTAATCCAATGTTATGTAAAAACGAGTATATGACAGTGATGCGTTTCGATCCTACTATTGAATGCGTTTCGTCAACTTTATTGATTCCTTTGTAAGTTTTTTGGATGATATAGTCGATTGACATATTAACATTCGAATGAGAAGCTTAACGATTATGATTTATTCGTTAGAATCGAAATAATCCTGAATATTTGATTATTTAATATAGCTACTTTTTCAAAGAACAATCGGAATGAAATTGTGAATCTTGAAATTTGAAGAAAGCAAAAAAAATTATTTAAACTGTTAAGCGTTATAATCATCTGACAGTAGCCATGAAACACGATTTTCTTGTTAGATGATTGGAAAAGTAAGATAGAATAGTGGTCAACTTCTTCCAATTTTTTCATCTCGTTATTTTGCGCGGCATACTTCGCCAAGAAGTACAGAAGGCACCATAGACGATTAATTCTAAATGAAATTTGACTAATGATGACGAAGAAGTAATAGTTATTTATTTAAATAAAAGCAGATCAGGTTTATCGAATATTTATCCGACAATTGCTAAACATTTGTTTAACAATCGTTTTGATGCTTATTATACAACAAAAACATGATCAGTTCAAGCTTTCTATAATAGTATATTTGATTACAAGTGTACTGATATTATTAAATCAGTTTGAAACAAAAGGTAATGTTCCCCGTTAAATATATTTCAAGTAATCGGAATGAGTGTCACATTCAAGATAGACTAAATAGCTTCTCTTTTGTTTAAGGTACTGCTTAATGAACTCCGAATATATGCTCAACCATGTAGTTATTGCCTAGCAGTTAGGAGATAGAATTTTCAGGAAAATAACAAAATCTGTACGATCAAATTTAATGTTGAGAGAGTTTTACTCATTCATGTACAGAGGAATAGGATAAAAGAATAATAACAATCGTACCTAGTCGTCAGGTTGAGATTGTTTAAACTGCTTTATTGTTTCCCAAGTTAAATTCACCCCTTATGAATGTACTACTGGCTGGTACGATTCGAGTTCAACTACATCCCTGCGAAATGAAATTTTTCATGAATTTACAAGGCATTAGTGATCTTTCATTTTCTAAAGCATTAGTCAGCAGTTGTATTGTGATCGGTTAGTGTGTTTTTGAATTAAATCGAACATTAACCAATCAATGTCTGGCTTCGAAAATTATGAACCAAATTGCTCACTTACTCAGTTTATGATGCCAAAATAAAAATAATGAATTCATTCTGAATTCCTACTTTCATCTGAGCAGAAATATTTGATAGTTAGTAGAAATCCTAATGTTAATAATTACAAAGAAACAACATCAATAGTTATTAGATTTTCGTTAGAAAACACTGATATATTTGAAAGTTTAAATAAAAATCAAGCAAAGACGCGGACAAATACTGATGTACACAATGCGGAATAAGAATATGAAAAGTTAAATATGTGTAGCTTTCTTTTTAGGCTTATCGCGTGAAGAACTATTTCAAGAGATTTTATCAATAATTGAAGCCGGTACGGATCCACCAGCCACAGCGATATCTTGGTGGATTTACTACATGAGTAAATATCCTGTAGTGCAAGAAAAAATTAAACAAGAATTGATGGCCAATGGTATAACAAAAGAGACATATTTGACCAATGAATTATTGGAGAAACTTCAATATGTGGACTGTGTTGTAAAAGAATTGTTACGACATGCACCTATTTTCAGTTCAACTATGAAAACTCTTAAACAAAATGATGAGATCGATGGAATAAAATTAGCTAAGGGCGATACTGTTTTGGTGGCTTACTATAATATGCACAAAGATAAACGCTATTGGAAGTTAGATCCAATCCAATTCATTCCAGAAAGATTTTTTGGTTTGGATGCAAAAGATAAAGATCATCACCGCTATGCATTAAACACTTTTGGAGGAGGGCCCCGTCAGTGTATGGGTCAAGATTTAGCCCGGCTACTGTTAAAAACAATGATAACTCGCTTAATGCAACATTTTACATTTGTCGATGGTGGCCCAGAAAAAAATACTGGGCGTCATTTTCAACTTGGCGAAACTATGAAGCCAGATATGGCTGTTTACATCTACTGCGACTAAAATGACTGACGCTCGATAATATGCGGAGTATCTATAGTATGACTTTATATTGAACTTTCCTACAGAAAAAGTATGAAAAATCTTCGATTATCTATTATTGATTCACAATAGTTTTTTCGAAAAACAAATAGGAACTTATGACATCGGAGATCAATACATATGGGTAATCAGTTGTTGTATTCTAGAATTAAATTACTTTAAACGTGATTTTTATCGACTCTGCGTTTTTAGTCATTTTAGTATAACTTATATGGTTAACATTACGACAATAATTAAGATTTCCAGGCCAGAGCTATGCAAAGAAGTTTTCCATTGCTCCAAAAAAAAACGTTGTCTACTCGTAAAATGTTTTGGAAAGCTATTCATTTTTTCAGATTTTCACCTTGAACCATCACTCATTGTTTAGTTTACTCTATACGAGTAATTAAAAATAATATAGTATATTTAACCGCACTTGAAACTTAGACACATTATTCGAACAAACTGAAATTTATGTACGGCAAAAATCGAAGTGAACAGGCGACTTTTCGACAAGGAGTCTTTTTTCTTATCCACACTGTACGAGTAATTAACGCCTAGACAGATTTAGTCCGGGTAGTAATAAGTTAAAATGAGCAATGATTTGTACTCAAAATATTTACCTTCTGTCAATGTTGAAACTAGCAACATAAACGGTTGAAGCCATCCAAAAAGTTAGTTTTTCCTAAACTGTACAATTCATCGGATAAAAACAGTTGAGATTTTGATTTTAAGTGTATGGCATCTGAAGAACTAAATTAATTGCTGAAGCACAGAAAATCCCACCTTAATTGGTTTTTTGTTTTCTGGAAATCCACATATGTTCTTATCCATCCTTCATCAAACAATTTTCATAAAACCTTGTAGTATACTATGTCAAGCACAAAAAATAAACGAATAGCTGAAGAATTATTCAAGCAGGGTTCACCTGAATTTGTCGTTAGCGTATAAAGCCGCCAGGCCAAATTTACTTGATCTGGGACTTTCAAAAATAGGTTCTCTTATTTATGTGAAATCGTTTGCAAGTGCATCTGAACTGTTGTATTGAATTTTGACCGCAAGTAATAACCGATTTTGATACGTTATGCGATGAAAAGAAGTTCAAAATATATGCATGCCAAATTAAAATATTTAAGCATGAAAGATTAAAACCCTTGATAAATACAAGACTTTTGATTATGCTTTGTTTGCGATATTCGCTCTCGCTTATATAATTACAATTCGTCTTGCAAACCAAATGAAAAATTTCTAAATAAATTTCTATTATTCTTTATTATGACTAACAAATCTGATTTTTCTAAAAGTAATTGCCAGCTTTGAAAAAAGATCGAACGACAATCGACAGAAATATCGTAATCCTTTAGAAAATAAATGAATTATAACCGATTATTGTACATAGGAGCTGACTAAACTCAGCAATCGATTAAGAGATTAACAATAGATCGAAGTGAATTATAGTAATTGAAACGCGAATAAGCTCATCAAACGACTTTCACTCTTACATTTATGCAGAACCCTCAATTTAAACACTTTCGCTGATCGATTTCTTCCTAGTTTAGGCGCATTTTTCTAGATACCCCTATGTTTTAGTCTCTGATGCATCTTAAATTATGTGCGTACATGGAAAAGCTCATCGGTAGCGGTCGAATGAAAGCGATAAAACAGCATTTATGTCTATTGGAGACTTCAAAAAAGAAATATAATAGTTCATTAGTTTTAAAATGTTTTATTCAATCAGCATTCAAGTCATGTATACTTAAATAATCTTTCTTATCTGTAAGATATTAGTATTATACTCATCACATGGTACTTTATTTTAGTTATCATATAAAATTTTCCAAGATTGGTTTCACTCTCCAGTAATTATTGGTTCCTCTATCTTTGTCTTTATCTGTGCATGTCTGCTTCTCTCGTGGAAAATTTTCAAACGCTGTTGCTAAATGCTTCTAGAATAGACCCATATATTTATCTTAATTTAAGGAACCATCTTAACAAAACAGGTGGTCCAAGGCCTTGACATATTAGAGAAGACCAAATACCAACACCACCACCTCTATTTACCCGCTGGTCAGATCGTTCAAATCGCTTTAAATCATTTCGAAATCGAGTTATATAGATCCAATTCTTTCAACTTAATATTACATAATTACTTTCATCTATAAACATGAAATTTGACCAATATTTTTCACCCCACGTTAAATGTTCATCGCACCAATGAAGACGAGCATATATTTATTTATAATTTATTCGAGCCTTTCTTAGTACAATATCAGAAATCTTGTAAAATTCATGAAGGATATGGCTCACTGTTCGACGACTGACAGTAAGATTGAAACTTGTTTGAACATGCCGGACAAGATCATTCAAACAAAGAGTATCATCACGAACTTGTTGTAATTTAATTGCTCGTTTTTAACGATCTGTTAGCTTTGAATGACGTTTGGCTCTAGATTTTGTAGCAACCGTGTGAAATTCATTAAAATTTTGAATAGTTTGGTGAACATTATGTCGAGAAATTTTTCTGCCAAAAAAAGACATCATCAATACAGGGAAAGATCGTTTGAGAAATGGAAGTAGTAGAGAACGTCCAGTCATAAATGAGCGGGTCCATAATAGAAGACGGGCATCCTTTGAATCGATATTGTATAGCCTCATCATTACGATATATGACTTAATCTTTTCTCTTTCTTCCATGTTTTTAATTTTTTATATGTAAACCTTACAAAGGGAAAAGGCGCGACTTCCGTACTTCACGTACTTCGAAGTACGGAAGTCGCCCTTTTCCCCCTTGAAACGTTATCTTCCTTTCGCTGCTGACTGTTCTCTAGTTCGAAAGAGAATGCAAATTAAAGTAAGCAGAATTAGTCGAAAAGATGAATTGATATAAACGGAAAATTAAAATCAAACAAGCGTAGAATTGAATCGTAAAAAGAAAATTGACGTAATTGTGAAATTGGAATCAAGTTAATTAATCGTTGCAATATTCAATCTTCGAGACATGTTAAGACATACCACTGTCACGTAGCTGAATAATACCTCTTTTTATACCAATATCAATAGTTTTACGTCCCATTACTTTTATAACAAAATTGTGTAAAGTTTATCAGGGTGAAAAGGTAGTGAGCAAGTTGATTTCGAATGAAATCAAAAAAAGAAAGGGCATAAACATTAAGGGGAGTCTAAAATTTTGTCATCTCTTATATTTAAACATTTAGTTTTTAGAAATTTCGTTGCTTTGCGGTTTAAAAATTACCATTTCGCATAAAATATTTCGTTTCTTACGCTTTTTAAATAAACGTCAACAGATCACAGTCGTGGTTTACGATTGCGAATTTAAACCCGTTCTGAGAATTTTTTCCAGCTCAGACAATTGTGAGTGAAATGTCTGTGGCAACGATTACAACACTAACCGTTGCGCGAAATTATGCAGTTGGAAATAATGGTGAAGCTCATTTCAAATGTATCATCGGTGTTCTATGTTTTGTTGAATATACTTCAACAGAAACTCATACTTGCGCCTGGAAAGCATTTCAATTTCTTGGATTAGGTAAAGCGACATTGTGGCTTGTTTCAGTAGATTATAATTATCGTATTTATTTGAATCTGTTGGGAAAATGTAGACTTTATTGTGCTCAGTTAGAAAATAAAGAAATAAAAGTCTAGTTTTGGTCAAGTTTCTTATCTACTTTTTTCTGTTTGTCCATAAAGTGGGCGACACGAACATGTAGCAAAGTGTAAGGTAATAATGCTTGTTTTGCGCTTTCTGGCAAATTTTTAAAGCCTCGCATACTCCCAAAGCATTTTGGGCTGCCACATTCACATGGGTCAATAGGATGCAAGTTGGCTAGAGAAAAAAATAGAAGAACTTAAAGTTTAAAGTGGATCTCTTCGTTCTCATAATTACGTGGAGCTTCATATACTGCTAACAAATAGTTTATTGTTATCTCTTCATTCGGTTGTATGTCACGCACCGCATAATAAGAGCTTCGACGAGTCACTTTCATACCAATTATTTCATCTATATTGTTAGCATTCGCATCACAACTGTGATTTATTAGCGCTGCACATGGATCTAGTAGATAAGTGCCATTACCAGCATTCAAAAAGTGTGTGGATGTATCAATTTCTATTATGTCTCCGCGATCTGTGATTTCTTTGACTTTTAGCTGTTTGTCATGTATAGGAATATAATATGCCGTGAACATATAATCATTTTTAGGGATAAACTTGGTCGTATAAATACCGATGCCGTAACGAGCTCTCCTTATTTCAAAACCTTCAGGTATTGTGAAATGAATTTCAGGTGGGCATTCAACTGCTTCCGACACATCATCTTCGTATTGGAATTCATATGATAGTATTTCTTCTGTACACGGTAGTGATTTCGGAATTGGACCAGCAGCAGTATTGTGTGTCATCTTAAATAAAAACTTCGTATACTTGCATCAGTCATGAATCACTAAACTCATTTTATTTTATTTCTCTAAGAGAACAGAGTAGGCAGTGTAGCGCGAGAAAAACATTCTTATATTACACGCTACACAATAATCGTATGAGTAAGTCCAATTCAGACTATAAATATGTCTTGAAAATTAAATTGGGAGATATATCCAGTGATTCATACTTTATTTGGTTTTTAGAAATGTGCGTAGATTAACAATACGAAAACCCCAAGTCATTACTTGTGATCATATTAAAAAATATTGTGTGTATGCCGGATAGCGGTGCAACACGTATCGGTAATCCATTGGTCGGAGAGTCCTTTAGGACCGACTAGTCTAAAAATTTTTTTTATGATTTTTATACTAAGATATTATCATATATCACACTAGCAGAATCCTAATATGTATTGAGGAAAGTTATGAGTCAGACAATCGAAATATCTCTGGTCTAGTCTCTTGGCAATCGGATATGCTGAGTCTGCAAAAGTTTTCTTCGAAATACTTTGGTTGTTTGTTTATAAATCGTATATATGAGTGAACTGGAACTTCTTGGTACGATTGCAATTTTAGCTGTATCTCTCGCTAATAACTTTTTCTCTGCTAAGCCAATTTTGACCAATTTTTGATATGTTGCTGGTCTTTGAGTGTTCCACTGTCACCCAAAATTTCAGCTCTCTAGCTACTACAGTCCCTGAGTTATTAAGCGTATACTGTGAAAAAATCGTATTTTATATGGACATGTACTCAGAAAAGAATATCTGCTGGGTATAAAAGAAAAGAAAAAAAATATAATGAATAGTCAGCTTTGTACAGCTTAAAATGCTCTATCAAATGGTATGTATCATATATGTTTTTCTTTTTCTTTTCACACTCATTCGTCTAAAATTATTAATTACACACACTGCCATTTTTGTGTAGAACGACCTTATGTTTCAATTTACGTCGTCTATGTGGGACTGGGAGGAAAGTAAAGGTAGGCAAAAGAAAGACAAATGAAAGAGCAACAAAATAGTAGAAAGAAATCTTTCTAAATGATTTTTCTTTTCGGTAAAAAATATCGATTATTTTTAAAAAAATCGAGTTTGACTCACTTTGTAGAACGACTTTTTGAAAATTATTATCTGAATAACTCCTGAACAGCTTGATTATTTTCGCTCAAATTTTTACCGAAGATATAGTTCTAAAAGTTACATAAGCAGTCAAAAATTCAGCTGTCTATCTCATACTGTTCTTGAGAAATTTACAATATATCATAAAATGTAGAACGACCTTTTTTATGTAAATACACTGAATGGGTTTTTAATCCTTGCTATGAGACCTACACGAATCAATATGTATGATCATTTTTGTTCGGTGTCGATTACCTGAAATAGAGCTATTCAATTGAGTTGCTCGTAACAAACCCCATGTTAATAATATTAAGAGCATGAAACGCATCAAATATGCAAGAGAAACGTTGGCAAAATCGTTAGGTTTTTAGGATACTGTAATTTGGGCGGATGAATCGAAATTTAACTTATTCGGTTTAAATGGTAAAGTGATGGTGTGTAGAACGTTGAAGGAAGAGTTCGATCCAAAGTGAACGATTTCCAACAGTGAAGCATGGCGGTGGTTCTATGATACTGTGGGGTTGTTTTACGAAAGCAATCATGGCAAACTGTGTTTTAGATCTTACCTTGAATCATTTTTATTACCGACAAATATTAGAAGAGAATCTGGTACCCTCAATGAGCAAGCTGGGAGTCGGCAGCAACTTCATATTCATGAACGATGATGCTCCCAACCACACGTTAGCTCTCGTCAAGGATTTGTTGAAGAAAAATGGAATTCCAGTCTTGAGATGGCCATCTTCTTTTCCGGACTTCAATCTCATTGAAAATCTTTGGGGTGCATTGCAAGATCGAATGAAAAAATGTCATCCAAACAATAGAGAAGAATTGGTGTTGTGAATCATCGAGGAATGCAATAAGATTGAGTTGTCTGTGTTCGCAAAGTTGATTGGTAGGGGTATGATAGTTCAGGTTTAGTTCCTATCAAAAGAACTCTTCAGGCATTCCCTTAGATCTGAGAACTGTTTCACCCGTATTACTTGGTGCTGTTACAAGTAGATTAAATGAGTATATTAAAATGAAATGACACCCAGCACGCTACTAAACTACTTAAGACTTTTGTTTAGATTACGGAAAGATAGGAAGTTTTTGGAAGTGGGTGAATAATTTTGATATATTAAAAGTTAGGCAGTTCATATTATTTCGTGAAATAAAATTACTGAAACCTATTAATATCGATGAGATATTATAACCGATAGAATAGAGATGATTAGAGATTTATATTTTTTACTTTGTTTCATAAATATATCTAACAGCGACGGCCACTGTACGTAGGGACCATGCTATGTAATAAAAAGAGGAGTATTTATTTATGCCAATTTCATCGTTACTCTTCGATGAATAAATGTCAAACATCATGCATCTGGCGAGAAATACAAACGAACGGCTTCTTCAAGAGTTAGGAAATCAGTTTAATACTTCTTCTGTAACAGATTCACTTGAGATGCAGGTGAAATGAAATATATAATGGACTGTTGTTTTGTTACAAATCCCTGAGCGATTCTCACAGTGGTTTTCTCTCGAACTGCTTCGAGAAAAATATGGACGTTGTCCAAGTTTTAGAACTTGAGTGATACCCTGAAGAATTTTTTTGCTGTGTGCATCACCTAGAAGTCAGGTGAATGCGTGTCGAAATTGTGGTAGGTATTACGAAAGGACATGGAAAATTCTTTCAAATTGGTTCCGTCTGTAACAGGTTTGAACCTCGTTGAATGAAAATGTATAATGGAGTAAACATTTGTCAAATTTCTTTCGACGTCCACAAGTGCCTATCTGTCAATTTCACCTGATACCTAATGTGGATCCCTCTATATAATTCACTTTGTATTAGTGGTGTCAATTTACAGCCATCTCTCTTCTTCAAAATACCGTAATACTCATAAAAATATATTTAATAGCACAATTCGTAGAATAATGGCTACCTTTAACTTTCGAAAACAAAAAACATACTCAAATTTGAATTTAAATAATAGCAATCGAGTCAAAAGCTATCGTTATCTACTAGTTTTCAAAATTGAACTAATTTGAATTTGAGACAATTTAATTTAAATTTAGCTAAATTTAAATGTGACACCCCTAACTCTAATAGATGTGAAAAATGTTGAAGAATTAAATCAAAACTGTATAGCCATACAAACTTTCAACGATTAAATAACCATCTGAATTGCGGTTGAATTAAGTCAATTCATAAAGAGGCTTAAAGAAAAAATGATATGTTAAAAGCTTGACTACTACGCACTACAAAGCCATATACTCATATTCTCGCTTATACTTAAACGCTTGAAGAGAGAGCCGCTGGTGCGTAACTTTGGCTCGAAAAAAGATAGAAAAATGAGTAGGTATAAGAAAAAGTGCTCTTCTCTATGATTTGGGCGCTACTGCATTTCACCTGTACTTATGCATAGAATATTTACATGTCGTACGTGTACGCTTACTTGGTATGCTACCAATATTTATTAGAAAACACAATTTAGTGGCTGATCGGGTAGGCATTGTTATAATAAAGGGCTACTTCTCATTTGCGAACATAAAGAGAATGAATTTAACTAAATTCAAACTTAAAAGTTTCGTTTTATTTTAAAGTTTATTATTTCGAATTTGTTTCAAAACGATTGAAATTTGAAGTTAATTTTATAAGTTTACTGCGATTTATAGAGGATGTTAATCTTTTAGAATAGAAAACATCTAAAGTTTGAATAATTACTGCAATTTGTGCAGGACATAAGTTTTTGATAATAAAAGGCTTTTCAGTTCTAAAAAATTGGTGAAAATAGTAAAGATGGAATTGTTTCTCTGAAGAGAGAGTTCTTGTAAAGAAAATTAGTTCATTTTCTTAATGAAATGTTTTTTTAATATAGAGTCCATTGTTTTAACAGATTCGATTGAATACGTAGAACATATAGCTTGTTAATGGCGAATATTTATTATCAAGACATATTTCAGTTGATTTCTAGAAATATGCAGATATGAAGATCAATAATAATCTAATGTTCTCATTAATAGTGAATATATAGTAGTACAAAGATGAGCAAGAGCAAACAAAATGGGGATACGTAGAAAGAAGCTGAGTCGAAGTTAAAATGAGTATTATATAGTTTATTTCTATCTTTCTTTTTCTTTTTGGATCAATTAACGAGCATAATGCATATGTTATAGATTTCAATTTGGCTTAGATGCTAATTTTTCAAATCAAAGTAGAAATGCATATTGAGTCGTATGTTTTCAATTCTTACTCATGAAATATTAGTGATAAATACGAGCAAGGGCAAAAAATGGATAGAAATAAATGAAGTTGCGTCAAAGTTAAGATGAGTATTATCTAGTTCTATTTCTATTGTTTCCATCTTGACGAATTTTTAGTTGTAATAAACGAGCAAAGAGCGTCAAAATGCAAAACAAATACGGTTGATATAAAAAATATTCGAATAAAAGCGTAAATAGATCTTGACTATACCCTATAGATTTTATAATGAACCTCAGACAAATAGATCATGATATTGATAGCAGCATTTTTCTCTACTGAACCTCATATATTACATTTGAATTAATAAAAAACGAACACAATAGTTTAGCGCACTCTACAAATTCCAGATAGTTACTAGCAAAACTGAACATATCAATTTTATTAAAATTGTTCTCAAGTAGTGTTTAATATACAAAAAACGAAAATTTAAAATCTTCGATTTAAATTTAATTTAAAACATTTTGATTTTCGATTTTATGTTCGCAAATGAGACGACACGATACTAGCTCAGTAGTACTAGGGGGACTTAGAAAGAGAACGGCAGAGTTACACCAAGTAATTTTTGATGAAGTTTCAATAGAGAACTGGAACTGTCACAGTTCAAAAGAGTCGAATAAGTACGTAGTATTAGTTATGTTGTATTTTGATATCTGTTTTTGGATAGTTTTGAATCATTTAATTTTACAAAAATTAAAATTCTAGTGGATTAAAGTTTAGCAAATTTTCGATTTGAAAGCGAATCTAGAATTATTTGGTTAAAGTTAAGGTTAATATGGTTTGTACACTGGTACTCATAGAAATTAATTGCTTTATTAATTAATGCTATTTTTGGTGCATGGGTCCTAATAAATACTGCAATCTATTTGGCTTAGACGATTAGTATCAGAAGCAGAAGCTCGACTGAGGAGGCTTATAAACTTGAGAGATTTTTGCCTAAGTAATAGGAACTTATCCTGTTAAAATGAAAGTTAATCTCAATTAATCGCAAGAGAACAACTTATTTTCATCACGACTATACATGCTGAGAATAAACATGAGTGTAAATCTAGGTTAACAATTCATGTACTCTAAATTTTCCTCCTTTAGAAGATGCTATTTTTCTATAGCTTTGGTACTTGGGAAGAAGATGTTTCCATGATAGTACGTGCATGATGATGCTAATTTTATGTGGCCGCTATGGCTGAATGGTTAAGATGTTTGACACATATCCACAAGATAATGTGATCGAACCTCGGCTCCATCCAGTTATAGAATGGCCTTGAATAAGTTACTAACGGCTATATTATCTCGGATCACTAATCCGATAGCAAACTGACTACGTATGGCATACATTAAATAGCTCTTGTAGCTAGTATGTTGTTAGTCAGTGTGTACGGGAAGTTTAAGCAATTCAGCGCGAAGAACTCTGAGTCATGCCGGCCTTCTGTCCAGAGCTACATTTAGTAATAGATGTAGGAAAAAATAGGGCCCTTGAAATTGTCCTCGGATAACACCCCACACCGTAAGGTAGCCGAAAGGCAGGCTATTCTTCTTCTTCTAATGTTATGTGGATACTTTAATTCTTCCATTGAAAATTGTCAGAAGTACTGAATATACATATTTATCTTGAGGATATCATTTAAAATTTTTTTCAAGTGCTTGCTGAGATAGTGCCCCTACAAATTACTCGCAGTCGAAGTGGCTGATGATAACGAAGTGAGTTCAACAATCACTAGTCTTCTTCAAAAATGCATCTATTTCGTATCAAGCTCATGGATAGTCGCTTACATTTGAGATTTTTCGTGCTTTCCATCAAGAATCCGTTTATTTCTTTTAGAATTACACGATTTCGATCCATCGCAAGAGCATTTACGGGCTCTTCGTTTTGAAAATCAATAGCGCCAAGTACATTCCGTGAAATAAAAAAAAATGGCAAAGACATTATCATATAGGCGTAAGAAATTGAAATTGAGAGTTTTTAATATTTCAATGCTTTATCTATTATAATTGTATCTATGAACTGTAGAATGTGTTCTCAGAAAAACAGGTGTCATACTGAATCTTTTAAGCTTCTAGATTTGGATACCATTTTCAGAACCATTGAAGGTTCAAGAAAAAGCTGGTCGTAGCTGGAACCTTTTCGTATTTCTTCCAAAAGTGGTTCTAGAGTAGTAAAATGTAGTACACCACATTCAATTAGTCTAGTACTTCCGACGAATGCTTTATCCAACTGTTAATTTCATATTTAATTCCTTATACCTAATCTTAATCATAATTCCTAACCTTAACCCTTATCTCTATGTGTTATATTTACCTAGATTTGTTTTGAGTAGAATACGAACTAGCACTTTTTCTGTTGTTCGCACGAAATCGGCATCGGCATTAGTTTTTGTTGAGACGATTCTAAACAAAAAAAAGAATAGTGACTTATATTGTAAGATTCAACTTCCCATTAAATGAATTATTCACATATACCTAAAATATTAAAAAAGAAACACTAATTTATTTTAACATATTAAACTTGCATTTGAATTGATTATTCATACATACCTAACTACAGAAAATCTTGAATTCATTTTATCAAATTGACATTACCTGCGTACTGATGCATGTGACATATTGAAAAAGAGAAAAGAAAAATAGCACTTCAATAGTTACCAGTAATTATTGAATTGATTTTGGATGCACAACTACTCAGGTGCATCATTCAACTATCGCATCCCCGTCATCTAAAAAATGACGACGCATTCGGATTCCCGGGCATCCATAACCTATTTCAAACTTCGATCAGAATTGAGATCGGAGCTGAAATACAAAGTCCGATTTTACAGCCCTCGAGTTTTTTATGGACCCAATTCTGACCATTGGGAGCTCGGATTCCTCGATCTCAATAACATTTTTGAGATTTATATTACTTAAATTACGTTTCGAAAATATAGTATCTTGGTTCAAGCCAGAACCATCTTTAAAAAAATGATTCAGCATTAACAATAATGGTGCAGGACGGAACCTTTTCAAACATCCGAAACTATTGAGGATCTGAGATGGTTGTTTAAACTAGCTAGAACCCTCGATGGTTTATTAATAAACGAGTGAAACCTTAAAAAGTTCAGTATCTTGGCTAGAACCATAAATAGTTCCATATGGCACTTCGGTTTTCAGGGATGTTGTTTTTCTTTTTTTTTCATTTGCTATTCAAGATTCTCTATCAGAAGCAACTCCAAATATTCATTCTTCTCAACTAGAATTGTTCATCTTAATATTAGATAGTTTATTGATATAGTAGAACTTTCCCCTTAGGAAAATAAAATTGCTATCCATTCAGACTTCTCTTTGGTGTAGGGTTCTCGATAAGAGCAGTGCCGATAAGTTTGATTTTTTTATGCTTTTAATGTTAAGTATAGCTTTGAACGAAAGGTCAACAATAAATGAGCTTCTCGCTTAGTCACTAAAGTTATCTACATATCCTTACTAACGGCATATCATCTATGGAAACTACAATATATAAACGACGTGGTTAGTCTATTGTCGGAGAGTCGACAGCGTATGAGAGGTTATGTATGACTATTTTAGAGTTCCTCTGTAACTAATAGAGATGAGGCTGAGCCAAATATTATATGAATATGAAGCAAATTTGTCAATCATTCAGTTATGGCGAACAAAGAATGAAACCTACGAGCAGTAGCAAAAATGATAATCTCTATGTGACCAAGCTACAATTTATGAATCATTTTATTTTCTACTTTTGATTTAACGGTGTCCACCTCTTTAAAAATACTCATGAGCTGTTTTCAAGAAACTTGAAATTTTTAGAAAACGATCAAATATAGCTTAATTATATATGCTTTAGAGTGGCTCCATAACAGAGTAGTGTAACAGCTGAAAGTTAAATAGAAGAAAAAAAAACAATGAGGATTGTAGCAGTTTTTTAATATCGAGCATAGATATTTCTACTTTACCCTAAGCTTTGTTTTACCGTAGTGCAATGAATAGGAAATGAACAAAATTCAGAACAGGCGTCATGAATTCTTTTGGATTTTTACCAAGTCTTGCTAACAATATACATAATTGATAAAATCCTTGATAATACGTTTATTTGAACTTCGACGTTATGTTTTTGCTGCTGATTGGCTTTCAGATAACAGCATTGTCACGGTAAGTACGATACCTCAAACTTATCAAACAGTTAAACCGCTATTATACTACAAATCAAAGGCTAAATATCAAACAATAACTAATCCTAAAGTCAATAATAATTGAACTTCAGATTGAAAAGATAATTTTTGTTATTCTTGCTAGTGCATTTTTATGAATTTAATGCTGAATTCACATATCAGAGATACTCTATGGGACTCTAAATTGAGGATCTTAAAAAGCCACATGAACTTGCTACATTGTCATGCTAGAATTAATAATCAGTAGATTTCCTGTTCAAAACTTGACGATAGATTTTCCGAGAGTTTCTCCAAAAACGAATTTTGATGACTAAAATTTTGCTAGCGTAATATTATCAATTTACTGATACAATAAGATGATTGCAACATTATGGTAAATCCTGTTAAGTGATTTTGAATGATCGATCCTTCGACAGTTTATACTATTTTTCTAATGATTTCAGATTCAATAATTTTATATTCGTACTTTTATGATGCCGGAAAACAGTCATGTACCTGTCATAATTGTAGGAGGCGGTGCAGCTGGTTTAGCAGCAGCTAAAGCCCTTTCTGAGAACAATATAAAGTATTTACTATTAGAAGCACAGAATTATCTTGGGGGCCGTGTACACACTATCGAAGCAGGTAAATGCATAGTTTTTAATGCCGTAACATGCTTTAATATACTCTTTTCTCTCTTTAAACGCAACAGCACCCGAGATCCTCGTTGATTTGGTACGTAATTTTACAAATTCAATAGCATTCTAAATCCTTATGTTGGATATGTGTAGGGTGCTCAACTTGCTCTCAAAGAGTCGGTCCCAAATGAAGTGTATAGTTTTTTTGAAAAGACGAGAAACATTACAGATACAGGCAATCAAGGTAACTTGCTCTTGTTAATGCAATCGAAATTTTGATTTAACAAGCATTTGTTACAATAAACATTTTAGTGTCTTACTATGTTACTTCCGATGACAAGCGAATTGATAACACATTAATGGAAAATGTGTGGGATATACGAGAACAAGTCCATAAAGAATTAAAAGAAGTAGCAACGGAAGAGTCACGATTTGCATGTTATAAAGACAAGCTACTATCATTTGTTCATGATGAAGCATTACGTTCAATATTGATTGATTGGATGCTACACGTATTGGACGCGAGTGGATGTATAAGCCAAATCGAGTCATGGGTTGAGGTTAATTGTACTTATCGTCCATTCATCGATCATCTACAGTCAACCATACCTGAAAGTCATATACGACTTGAAACTGAGGTGACGCAGGTGCAATATCTTCCCGACTGTCATAAGCTTAGTGTCGAAACTGTCAGTACACCAAATAAAGCAACAAATATTCTTCTTACTTGTGATCATATCATTTGGACAACTTCATTGGATTATTTAAAAAGGAATTTTACAAGAATATTTAGTGCTGAGCAGAAGCTTATCGAAGAAAAGTCACATGCCATCCAAACACTCTCTACTGTGATGATGAATAAAGTACGTAAGAAATACAACTTGCATTTTGAATTGCCGAATATCACAAGCATGCCTTAATTTCGCATAGAAATTATAATTTCGTACTCATTTTTATATTCTCTTCCTACTTTATTAATATTTATTTATTCAATTTTAATGTGAACGTTTTTTTGTAGTTTACAACTTCATCAGACATAATTCTATATAGACTTTACAATTTTTAATTATAATTTCAGATCATCCAGTTAAATATCTACAATGTGCGAGAGATAAAACAGATGTAAAAGGTGTGACAAGTAGACTAGTTCATTTGTTTTTTTTTTCTTTCTTTTTTTGATCTTCTTTACATTTTGTGTACGGTAATAGTGATACGGAACAAGACAGTAGTAGTATTGTTCTGGATTGATGATTCATTTCCGTATCACTATTATCGTCTTGTCCTTGTTGATTAATTGTGGTTGGTGGATAGCTGTTGTCTTTGTCGTTGATGTTGAATTTTTCGTTGGATTTGTTGTTGAACTTTAAAAAGAATCGGGTCCCATGCTTCGCTGAGGGTGTGGGTGTGGATCTGCATCTGGACTAGGATGCTATAGGCACCCTCACCCCATACCCTCAAGTGCTTAAATATACACATCTATATATATATATATATATATATATAAGAACAGCAGGAAATCATAGAAGATTACTGATTCTTGCAGAGCACTCAGTGATCATTTACTTTACAATTCTTTTGTTTATAACCTGCTGTTATGTATTTATTTTATCAAGGTACATCTGATTTATGAAAAACCAATGCAATTTTGGCCAGATGACTGTAAAGAAGTATTCCCTATAGACGTCTACTGCGTTCCCATGAAATTAAATGAAACACACCTCGCGTGTCTTGCTGCAAACGATACAAACCGACAGGATATCATGTTCATCCTTCAATCCGTTTTCTGTATGTCGCCAAGAGACGAACGACGTGTATTAACATTTTGGTTTGGTGGTAACGCTGCAGTACTCATAGAAAATATAAGCAACGACGTATTGAAGTGTCTTCTCCATGGTGTGGCTTGTCACTACCTTAATCAAGGTAAAGAAAGCGATCCTCCAGTTCAGATTTTCAAGTGAGTGAACATATTGGACTTTAAACAAATTCTAAAAGCTATTACTCAATATTAATAGAAGTACCTGGAAAACAAATGAATATACATGTGGTTCATTTTCACATTTTTCTCCACAAATATTCAAAGACGATCAGGCACAACTTCGTAAAAGTTTTGAACCAGACGATGTAGGTTAACGAATGAAATGCTCAGATTAATTTTCTTTTATCTATTTTCAGACACCGCGTATCATCTTTGCTGGGGAGGCAACGCACCCTGTATACCCAGGGCTTGTTATTGGGGCATACAAAAGTGGTATCGATTCAGCTAAAACACTTATCAATCTTTTTTCAGCTAAATAACATAGTTTGAATTTTAGTTACAAAAAATGGCTTGAATCTCATATCTGAGGAATTCTAAATTATTATTTCCATATTTATTTGAAAAACTAAGTCTCTCACAGTTAATCTAGAAATAAAACACTTATTCTTCATTCTGTCATCTTTACTGCATCACACACCAGTTTTCTTTCCCAAAGAACTCACTATCAACAAGAATGTCGCTAATTTTTGTTTATGTACATCATTTGAATTTTGGATTTCCTAATTCTCAAAACAGTGTCTGAAATCTGGAAACTCTTTCATGTATTTTAGAAGTTTGAACGCTTCGAATAGTGCAAAAAATAGTTTTTGCAACTTTTCACTTGAAGAAGCAGCGAAACTTCTCTGAGTACTGAAATAGTTTAAATAGCACTTCTGATGAAATATTAATCTCAATTCACAACTATGTTGGATAGATTGCTTTCAAAATCAGTTAGTGAACTTTATACATAACTCGCCTTTCTCTATCCTGAGTATCTCAATCTGTATTTCATATCCTTGTCTCCAGCTGAAATCATTCGATCTACAAGAGTGAACAACACTATAGAACTAACTGTCAAAACCAGTTTGTTTAACAAATTTCAAGAATTTTGATTCTACGAGAAAATGGGTCATTATAGGAGGACATGCATTAAAGTGCGCTCTTTTGTAGATATACACTGGAAAAAAAAGGTGTCACACGAATTCTTTGAGGTTTAGTGGAAGTTTACTGTATACGATTAGATATCGCACCAGTCCACGAAACCATTTTAAGGTTTAGTAATCAAAGGAGTTCCGTAAAAAAACTCTTTTTATTTTTGGTAGGCGAAATGGTTTTGTAGGAGACCTATTAAAGGTTTCGTATGATACTTTCTTTTTCTGTACATTTATGCGGTCCATAGATGAAGACTCCTCAGAAAATTGTTCAGCCTCGATTATTTCATTTGTTTACGTATTTATCAGTCATTAGTAATCCAGTTTCAATATTGTATAACTGTATTTTTGAGTTCACACGTTTTCGTACTGACATCTTTCTAAAAAAAATACAGAAGGACTTCACTAATATGGCAATGAACTTAAACATTTTCTTTGAAAAAAATACTGTCTATGTCTGCAACTTTATTTTATGCTCCCATTTTATGAATTACTACACCCCTCAGTTTTATTCCAGATTTCACCACTCTAATATTTTAAATCGTTAATTATTCAAACCACAGACTCTTTAATATAATAAAACGATTAGTTGGTTGTCATTTTATCTAGCTGGATATCTCATTTCGGATTTAACTTGGATAATCGCGAGATACAGAAGCACACAAAAAGACATCGGAGGATAGACGCAGATGTAAGACTTGTACATAAATTGAAGCAGATCTGAATAGATATTGAGAGCTTAAGAATATATATATATATATATATGAAGTGAACGATGGATATAGATGATTCGACATGTATACGTGTGTTTCAAATAAATATAAGTTTTAAGACTTACATAAGTATAAAGTGTTCAGATAATTCATATAAGAGATCTGACGATCTATGTCGCCTTAAAAAGACAATCCCGTTCTGTTTTCAGACTTCAACTGAATACATATATCTACCAATAGCTAATATTGAAAAGATAAGTGTTTGTATTATACTAATGCTAAAGTATTGAGTTACTGTTTCAACACAAATACACGAGCATTGGATTATCTCTTCATAGTCAAATACAAAACTTGTAACAAGCTTTTTTATATTCATTCTAAGCCCACGTGTGCACTATGGATACAGCTGAGAATTTTGACATAGATATATGTGGTGATCAATAGTTTTCACAAGTGACATTTAGAAATAAGGACTCAGACAATGTTTTACGTTATTAAAGCCAGGTGCAAGGGAATATACATAGTTGTAGCGAGTTCGACATATTTATGAAGAATTGATTACAGTTTTGAAAGGATTGTCGTAGAAAAAAGTGTTATATAAGCATATAATAACTTATGCATAGTTATATGAATTTATACAGTTTTATAAGAGTGGATATAGAAAGAAGGAGTTCGATGTCGAGTTCAGAGATTAAGGATAGAAATGACGGTTTACCTAAATGAATATGAAGTAAGGAAGGAAATAAGAAATTAATTTAAAGAAATAATCGTTCCGTAGAAAGCTGCAGCTCTTTCGGAAACCTTTTTGCAAACCTTTAGAGGTTCTCGATATGACTGATGTTGCCCTAAAAATCAAGGGATCAATTGATAGAAACGAATATTAATTCTACTCAGGTCAAAAGTCGGCAATCGGATTCTATCTGGTGTGTTTCAGTCCGATGAATTCCGATGACTGCATCTGACATGATTCCGATTGTCAGAATCCAAGCGGATCTCAGTTAATACTGGTAACTTCCGACTTATGTCGATTATCGAATCCGACGAAACCCAATTTTCGGACCCTATAGGATTCTGTTATTGAAATCCAGTCGATTCTCTTCGTTTCCTGTATATGAGAACTCGGGTGTTTTTTCCAAGGAGCAGTCAAAAATATCTCCACCTTTTGTAAATATTGTATATAATTGTAATTATTTTCTTGTGCTACGAAACTGCTTCGTCCTAAATTCGCTAACTCTCTAATCGAAGGAGGAAAGCAACAAAAGTAAAGGGCAGATACTGCCGACGACAATAGCGTTAGCTGGCAATAGCATTTCATAAAATATTTAATGCGGTGCGAAGCACAGCATTTATGTAGTCCGTCGCGAGTTTTTTTTTGTTTCTTTCTAACTTGAGTACGCATAAAAGCTTTAATAAAGTAGCGCGATGATCTAGAGAACCGTAAGTGATAGAAAATCCATTTAAACTAGATATAAAACAATGGAGGTGGAACTTGTTACATCTTTTTTCCAATTTTCAATACTAGGCTTCGTTTGCCTAAAAATATCATTCGACAATGATGATTTTGAAACGTTTTATTGTTTTATAGTTTTGCGCTAATTAAAATGACGTCATCAAGTAATAGTAGCCAATAGTCTATTTCTTCGCATTTGATCTAAGATAGTGAATCATTAAAATAATTAATCGTTCAATGAAAAAAATTGTTAGACAACTGGTTGTTACATTTTCAGAGAGATTTCCTAGTGATGAATTTCAAAATGGTCGATTTAAGAATAGTGAATGCGAAATTTTTATTCAAAATTCGTATACGGAAATTAAAAAAAAATAAACGTTTGTAATGAATCTTAAAGTGAATCATTTATTTTTAAATCTTATTCTCGCTACTTTCGAAAATTCGGCTCGTGTGCTTCGCACCGCATTTCGTAGTCGAGTGAAACTCGAATACCATCTAGTATTATTCTGTTTTCTTTTTATACACGATGAAAGGCGCTATTTTCTGATTAATTGAAACGCATTAGGGGTGTCATGTATTCTTTTATTAACATTGCCTTTTTTGAACACAAAGTGCTTGCATTGACAAAGAAAGGTTCGGTGGTATTTTACCACGCTTTAAAATATTTTGTTTGCACAAACGAAACGCTCAAAGAGTACAGTATCATATAGAATTTCGTGAGAAATCTGTTCGGCCGGTGAAAAGCAAAAATATTGCTTAAAAACACTTGCCCGAACTTCATTTCTTATATCATTAATTGTTTCACTGCTTCCCATTTACAAGACTTGATTTCAAGAATCGATTACAAATCGATTTTGACGTCTCTAAAAGTGATTTTTTCGATATTTGTTTTCCATGGGTACCCATATTCCACATTGAGGAAAATATTTCCAATAAACAGTAGTCATAACAAATCGAAATCGTTCAAGTACTTAAGATTATCAAAAACAACGTACTGCACTGTAAGTTCTAGTCGCAATAAAGCTTGTCGTGCACGTTTTCTGTTGAGGAGTCCAAGTAATTACATTCGCTTAAACGAAGGAATTAAACACAGTTACGAGAATATGTTGGTCGTTGGATTAGGACACAAGTGTTAATTTACGGAGATAGATATGGAGAATGTAATAGATTAAGTTTAAGGGGACACTTTAGGCGGACAGATTATGGTTGATGGTTTAAGTTAGGCGGCTAGATATAGATAAGATGATAGATTATGGTTAAAGGGTTAAGTTAGGGGATAGATTTATCCATTCGAATCGTGCAAGCGCAGATTGAGTGTATTATAATTGTGACGAAATTTCAGCTCCGAAGCCAATTTGAATGTGAATTAAAGATGGTTGAGCCAGAAACCATCCTATTCGGACATACGATCGTATTGGATGCGACAAGATTCATTAGTCAGAGCTCTCAATCTGGGTAACTGTCTGTGATGGTTTCTAGGGACCCAATACATCATAATACCGACCATAATAGAGAACCTTCACAGAGTATCACTGACCGTGATAGACGGATCCCAGAAGAGAAATTTTATCATGCTTCATATTTTACTCCCACATGGATTGCACTAACAGCTCTTTTCTGGCTTTATCAACCCTTTAATACTTTTTTTGTTTGGAAGAACAGATCTAGATACACCACATGACATTATTCTTTTTTTAAATAGGGCTTTTTCAAATCCATACCCCATGGCATACAAAATTTTGTTACCATTTTCGAGTGCTTTAAGTTGTGACGGTTTCTTCTAACGTAAAAATTGACTTTTATAAAAGATCACGGTATCGTGCTCTTTCAAACAAAAAAAAATTAAAGTGCTGACAAGACTAGAATCGAATATTTCAGGATGCTTAAAATGGCTATTTTCACCTTTGTCCAACCTGTATCTCCCTTGCGCATGTAGATTTTGGGCTGAAACTTTTATGAAACACTCTCTACTACAGGACCAACATGTTCTCTAAGTTTCAGCTCATATGAACGTTCTTAAGGGAAAAATCGACTTTTGAGGGGGACCTTAAAGATATTGATGCAATATTCATGAAAATACACGATGAAAAAGATTATCGAAAAATCTTCCCGTAACAAAATGCTTCCAGTCCTGATAGATGATAAATGATTCAATGCCCAAGTAAGCAAAAAATGAAGGGAGACTGCCGACATGACTAGTCAGAAATGTCCGCAGCTGCCGTCAAGTCTAGTCTGAAACATCTTGCATACCCGTCTTGTCTAGTCAGCTTAATGAGGAGTGTCTTGCAAACACGTCTGTACTAGTCTGAAATGTCCTTGAGTCCAGTCATGTCTAGTCCGTGTTGTCTGTTGACCTAGTCCAGACTAGTAAGAAGATTAAAACAGAGGTTACACGGTGGATTTGAACATCCAGCCCGACAGTGTTCAAGATATGACGGACATCCTGACGGCAGTCTAGGATACTGAGATAGACTGCCGTAAGTATATATAGTCTAAACTTATATATTGACTCCCATCCATGCATAGAAAATGAGAAACAAGCCGACGTAAATGGTATTGACTAGTCTGAAGCATCTTTTGGACACCTCATGACTAGTCCGTTGCTAAGAAGTGTTTATTTTACTCAATGCTTATCGAATTTTTTTCTAGCTAAAAGGACAATTAGAGAGTCTGCTGTAATCAATAGTGCATTCGAAAAGATTTAATATATTGCGTGCATCTCTGTCTTGATATATTTATTTTATTTTGCATTAGCTAATGCTAAAAGTTTAAGAGTGTATCAAAACATAAAATAGTAGGGGTTAGTACTAGCAACAAAATTCATCTCGTATCTAGGAGTGCTAATGTATATTTTTTTTCAAAATGTGAGATGTCCTAAATTTGAAAAAATTGAGAAGCATCTTAATCTTTTTCATATAATACTATTATTTAGTTAATTTAAAATATCAATTGTAATAATTTAAAATAAATCAAAGATAATTTAATTATTAGATGAATATACGGTGATTTAAATTTAAAACTAAACTAAAAAATAATATGAAAAAAATTAGCTTCCATTCCATACAAATATTTTTTAATTTTATAATCAAATTAATGTTTTTAAAACGCAACTAATTAATCGCAGTTGCTTATAAATCAAAATATATTTGTTGAAAAAAATATAAAATCTTCTTAAACTATTTTTATTTAATGTTATCTAAAGTAATTGAGTCTCGGTAAAAGACAATTTTATTGATACATCAAATTAAAAATTCGGAGTAAAAATTGTATTAAATAACATCTTAGAATGATCATGAGTGTGTAGAATATGACTTCAAGATCATATGGCTCAATGGTTCTGGCGACGGGTAAGTGTCACATTGTATACATGTTCGAATCTAATCTTCATCCTTACATATTTTCATTCAGACTCGTCCACTATATAAGGCTACAGCTAGTTGTATACTCGTCCCAGACGCCCTTAATTTTTCATTCATAGACCATTTTCGGACGGGCGACAGGGACACTCTTCACGACTACTCTTATTTGATTTTATGACTAGTCGTCAATCAGAGTACTAGGACGCGTATGCATGACGGATAAAAACTCGGACTAGTCGTGGACGAGTAGTTTTTGAGACAAAGACTAGACGGGACGAGTCAACTTGACTAGAAAAAAGACTAGTCATTTAACCAGTCTTTTGCTCACTTGGGTGGTATCTAGTTGTCCGGAAAATACATAGAACTTTTTCCCGATAGAGTACGGGGTGTTACTATGAAATCCGTTACACGAACTTTCCAAACAACCTTGTAGGCAGTTACTTTTTGATAATTATAACAACTCGATACTAATAAAATCACGCTCTCTTAATGTTCCTTTTTCATGCTAATATAGTTTAATTAATTATAAAAAGAAACAAGATTCTCGAATTGCATACATTCATAAATCGATTACAAATAGAGACAATTCTTAATAGTTGGACGACATGATCAAAGTCGGCCATTACTGAACAAATCTGAACTATTTGATGACAAACCCTTGAAGAAAGTCAAAAAACGACTTGCTTATCCAGGATATAAAATGAAGAGGTCTTTGAATACTTGTTAGAACACTCGTCTATCCCTTATATTTGTTATAAGGAACTAAAAACATCTACCCTGGATGAATACTATTAACGTAGACTTATACTTCATTTATACGCTTTGTGTCTGATCACACTTCCACATGCAATGATGGATAGTAAAACTTAGTTTCCGATATAATGCTCACTATTGTACACATACTGAACTTTGAATACAATCCGAATCTCATTTATCAGAAACAAGCTGGGACCTCCACTACACAAGAACTTTACAAAAGTGAAAATAATCAGATGGAATCAGAATTCGATGCATTGATTAAAATTAATTGATTGAAAAATATAAAAAAAAGTTGCATTTCAATTTATACAATCCAACATTTTTCGTTTAAAGACATATTTCACAAATTTTAACAAGAAACTAAATTAAATTGATTGCTTCTGTTTCAGATTGAACTTTAAGTATATTACCTCTATATTTCAGAGCATTCATTCTTACAAAAATACTCTAAATTTTTCTCATAAGGATGATTTATGGGATTTTATTAACGTGTTTAATCATTGGTCCTTTAGTGTTTCTGGTTTGGCTATGCTTAGTGGCTTCTTGGAGTGTGAATCCACGATTAGTACCTAAAATTCAACATGTTTTCTTGAATTCTATCTTTATAATATTCTGGTACTCGAAACTTACAATAGAAAAAATATTCCCTTTGGCTAAATTCGAGGGCGCGCCCATAGGATGTCACAAGATCATACAAATTCAATCAGAATCCAATGCTACAAAAAAGAAATGTTTCGATCTAAAAACAGTATCGAAATTCATAAGTTTTCCTACAAGACCTCATCGACCATTTTACTTTTTTGCTGCATTTGCCTATCCGATGCTTCCAATAGATTTAATGGGTAATCAATCAGACACTTGGGACCGTATTTATACATGTTTTACTCACATCATGAATCGAAAAAAAGTTGTCGCAAGCTCGGAGCAAATTACCGCTAAATATGCTGCAAAACTTGCAAAGGAGCTTAAATCAAATAAAAGCCAGAGATTGGTAGTATCAGACAGATATTTAAGGGAAATTCTCTGTGCTGTAATGTGGCAACTAGTTTTTGAAACACAACCAACAGAATCAGATTTAAAAAACCTCATAACATTATCACATTCTATCAGTAAAGCAATGACGTACAATCAAGATCCTAATTGGTCAGAACGAATCGACCTATGTACTGCACTTTTAAAACAACTTCAATCTATTCCGGCAGTCGTACAAACTCAGAAAGAATTCAATTTAACAGATCAGGAGCTATGCACTGTTTACGCAATGGAATTCTTTGTGACACCATCACTAGAAATTGGTGAGGTGATGGCAAACTTAATGACTATACTAGTAAATGGTAAACCTGATCTCATTGAAAAAGTGGTGGATGATCCTGATCTCATGAGATATTCAATAATAGCAACTGCGCATCATTACCCGCCTTTTCAAGTGGTTATGCGAGAAATCCCTGATGTAGAAAAATACAAAGAACTAACAAAATGCATTAATCTGATTCCATGCGGTCATGCACTCGAGATTCAAACTCAAATTATTGCAGAATTGAACCGAAATGAATCAGTAATCAATCATATTGATCGTTGCTTAGCGGATAAGAGTTTTGTTGAATCTGCTGATACAGAAGTAGAAACGTGCATGGCATTTGGAAAAGGTCAACGAGTGTGCAAAGGAAAAGAGTTGGCCATCAACGTTATTACATCTTTTCTAACGACTCTTTACACCGAGTTGAATCAATGGCCAGATGTTGAAATAACTGCTGGACGAAAATATAAAGCATTTAAAACCTTTGATGATCGTTTGTATCTTTGGTATCGTCGCTGGTTAACGGCTAATGTACTTTACCATTTCGATAATTTCTTCCGAAGGCCTGCTGTCCATCGTTTTCGATGGGAAATCTAACATTATTTGTCAAAAAACGAATAATTCCTTAAAGTTGATGAATCTTTTCAAAAAGTAGCTATTAAGATTTTTGATTATTTAAACCTTAACTAATAACAAATTCATAGAAACTCATATTCAAATAAATATTATTCAACATATACTGTACCGAGCGTGTGGGTGCGGGTGTGCTTTTACATTTATCCACAGCCACAACCCAAGATATATATTATAGTAGCCGTCCAACAGTTCCAGCGTAAATGCTTTTTAGAATATATAGGCAATCACAGAAGGCAAAGTTAAAAAATACATTGTAAAAATTTGATGAGTCCGAACCTTTTTTCTATGAAGAATTAAAACTCTGTGGATATTAATGTTGTAAAAAATTTGGTAGTGTCAATGAGAAATCACTGTTTATCTCTTAATTTCTGCACACATAAACGAACAAAATATCGATGAATGATGCTCCATAGTACTCATCGTGTACTATCGATTAATATATGTAAGAATTTGAGGATGACCTGTAGAAAGGGAAATACCGATATAGCAAAATGCACAAGTTTTGCTTGACAAATAACACTAGCTAATGGAAGTATCGACTGAAGCAAATGCCCTAGTCTCAATCCTGTTCATTACTTGGGAAACCCTGAAAGGATCTTTCAGGATCCTGAATCTCAAGGATCCTGACAAGTTTTATTAAGGATCCTGTTTCGGATCCTGGTTATTCCTGTTTCCAGGATTTATTAATGTGAAACAAGGTCCTGTTCAGGATTTCTTCAAGTTTCTGCTAAGATATTCTTCTGAGCCGATAGTTTAGCATTCTATCAAGATTTTCTCAAGATCCTGTATAGAATCCTATCAAGATTTTCTCAAGATCCTGTATAGGATCCTATCAAGATTATGAGAGAGGATTCCAAAAAGGGTTGATGAAGTTTTCGTAAGGATCTCGGTCAAATTATCGTATCAGGATCCTGTCAGGAGTAACGGTCACATCAGACGAGGATCTTGACAAGAAAATAACAGAGCCAGGCCGCATACGAAATTGAATATTACTGTAAAAATTTAACCAGGATCTTGCTCTGAATTTTTCAAGAATATGCTTTTCCTAACCTCAGGAGATCATGCCAATTCTACTAAGTCTTGATAGGAATATGTAAGGATTTGGTAAAGATCTTTTCAGGTTACTACTCCATCCGCTCATGCGTGTACATTTCTTGAGACAACCTTGAAGGATCTTTCAGAATCATAAATCCCAATGATCCTGCAAGGTTTGATTCAGGATTTTATTCAGTATTTGTCGAAGTTCCTGTTCGGATATGACTCTAAATCGAGTTTGCAGGATTTTAATAAGATTTATTGTTAATCCTATCCAGGATTCTGACAAAATTCATAAAAAGGGAATTTCGACAAGGGTTGGTCAGGTTTGAGTGAAGATCTGTTTGGAATACTGATACAAGGATTCTACCAAGATTTATAGTCATATCAGTGAAGGATCATCACAGGAAAAAAAAACAGATTTCTCAAAATACTGAACTAAGAACTCCTATCAAACTTCGATCACGTTTCCGAGCGATACTGTTCAGAAACCGGCATTTAGAATGCTTTTTAAAAAATACACGAATGATCAGGATGTTGATAAGAAAACGAAAAATCTTTAATCGGTACTCTGCATAAATAAATAGAATGAGCCCTGAAAATCATAGAAAAAACTTTTAAAATCTTTTTGAAGTTTAAATATAAGTTGTTTTGAGATTCGGACTGCAGCAGTAATTTTTTTTATCTTTATCTTGCCAGAAGAAAAAAAAGATTGAAATCATTAAATAAGAGTATTAATTTAAATTATTTATTATAAAAGTTTTTTCGTCGAATAGATACTTTGAGTCAGCAGCAAATCTTTCTAGTAAAACTGATTGTAGCTTTAATAATAATCGAAAACACAATTCAAAATATTTTTTAACATCGAATTTAAGTTAAAAAAAACAGTCAAATGTGACAAACTGAATTAAATATGGAAAATAATATCATATTTTCAGAATTTTTTGAAGTAATTTATATTTACATAAAATACAGATAGAAGTTTATATTAATGTCAGAATTAAGATATTGAATGCTGAAATGATATAGGATGACATGGCGCATATAGCTGGGTTAGCTAATCGGTATGTAAACTGAAGGTCTAGAGATCAATCCTCTATGTGTTCATTTCTCTTATATTCTATTTAGAAAATCCTGCACCAATCCTGCCAAGAAACTGATAAAATCCTGAACGAAACCTAGTCCAATCCTAATAAGATCCTGGCAAGATATGTGATAACATCTTCTAGAAAACATAGTCGAATCCTCAAAAATATTATCAGAAATCTTTTTTTTTCGAATTTCGAATTATTAAAATCCTGACAGGATCCTATAGTTTCGTGGCTACACACGTTTTTCAGGAATCATCGATTTCCTGACTCAATCTTGGTTTAAAAAACAGTGGTAAACTTGTCAGGATCCTTGATAATCTTGTTTTTAATCCTGCTAAGATCCTAAAATTCCGTGGCTACACACTTCTCTCAGGATTTAGTCGTTTCCTCAGGAAAAAATAGCGAATCTTTCCAGGATCCTGATCGTATCTGTCAAGGATCCGGCACTGAAACATCAAAGGTTTTCCCTAGGGTGATGTGTACTTGAATGGATCTTTCGTGAAGGTTGGTTAATGTTAGATACAAGTGGCGTAGACAGGGGGCATTGGGCAACTACCTAATGGTTAAAAATTTATTGTCCAATAGATTTTTCAGGCAATAACAATGGCCCAACACCGAAAAATATTGATATACATGCATGTTTAAAAACTTAGATGATGTTATTTTAACGCTGATTTCTGTTGAAATATATTCAAATGATCGAGAAAAGTCGATTGACGATATTTTTCATCGAAGCAATAATCAAAATAATGACAATTCCATCATATTTTAACCTGAAAGAAACTTATGCCCTTACTTAAAGTTGGTGATAAAGATATAAGTGCATATTTATGAATCTTGCGAGAGAACATAGAATTCTTTCGAACGCAAACCACAGACGTAGCTTAAACCGAATACTTGAACGGTGTAAGTGTATGCAATACTTTCGCAATTTGATTAATAAAAATTCCAATTCGCAAAAGAAGATGTTAATGAGTACCGTTTGAAAATTTCACTTAGTAATTAGTAGTAACAGTAATGGAATCCCATGTAAAAAGTTAAGGGTATAATCAGATTAAAATCGATTACAAAATGATTAAAGTCATGCACCTTTTAATCAATTTTCAATCAAAAATAATTGAAAAAATCAAAATTTCATTGATTATTTTGATTAGTTTCGATTAAAATTCACGAAAAAAATCAATTAAAATTGATGAAAATTAATTGACGTTTTTTTTACGCATAACGGGCAGAATTCAATTGAAACCGTTTTTTTTCATGAATTTTAATCGAAACTAATCAAAATAATCAATGAAATTTTGATTTTTTCGATTATTTTTGATTAAAAATTGATGAAAAAGGTGCATGATTTTAATCGATTTTAATCTAATTATACCCTTAATTTTTTTACATGGGATGATAATATATAGTTCAGAGAATGTACAGATAACTAAAAATATCAGCCGTCAAAAAAACTTACAAGGCTGAAAGGGCTAGCTAGGAATAAAATATAGAGCAGCAGTCATCATTATGTGGTGAGAGATGATAAAGTGAGTTGATGTTCTTTTCGTTCTATTTATGATTAATCATGAGTTTTACTGTAGAAATAAATAGATAGTTATTTAGAAATAAAGAATTAATTTATGAAAAAGAGAAAATTAACAAACACGGCCATTTCTAATAGGGCAGTGAGAAATTCCCTTGAAACAACATAGATTTACAGGTAGCAATAAATTTTTAAAAACTTCCCGTTGCGGTTCAATCGATTTTTAATTGCCCAATACCGCCCATATCTCAAAATAATTTAGCTGGGAAGCGGCCCATCACTCAAAAAATCCTAGCTACGCCACTGTTAGATACGTATTACAAAATGGTATGTTGTCAGAGGGGTCATAAGACGTTTCTTTCGTGCAATTAATAGCAGATGCACTTCTCAGTAGTGACATCTATTTTTATATTTTTCCTATGAATATTTTCTCAGGATTTTTATATAATATGATCAAGGATGGAAAACCTAACATTACTCTAATAAGCTCATTTCTAGCTGATATCATTTTACTAAGAATGCATCTTGAAAGAGGCTTGTTTCTAGAGAAACTGATATGGATATGTATGAACGTCCAATAGTTTTGCTATGCCCCTTGCCATTGCGTTCAAAAGTAACCACAATAATGGTGCAAATTAAAGAGGGCGACACAATTCCGATGTTTTCGGTCTAAAAGCCAAGTTTATAAGCATTTCCGGGTAAAAAGAGCTATACCGTTCGATTGCAAATTAAATTTAGAATTTTTTGGTACCTGAATGATTGAATAAATTTTGTGGGGAAAACACTATGGGCGAACTGCATGAGTGACGTTCGAATCTGCTCATAAAAGGCTTAGTCATCAGGGTCTGACAGTATACCAAAAGTGGATATCATCAAATCATTCATGCCTATCAAAGGAGAAAAAAATGAAACACATCACGCTTAATTATATGTTGATGCATTGGATTGTAAAACAGAACGATGAGTGAAGACAAGCAAAACATACAATCCGCAATAGCTGTTGATGGTGTCAACAAGTTTATTTCGTTCTTTAACCAGCGCCAGATTGAAGAAGCAGTTTGGGTGTTTGCTGAACTCGGTATTGCTGATTTACTAGTTATGTCAGAAGCAAAAAATGCGGAAGAAATCTGTGCTCAAAAAGGCTGGTTAGATGCTGTTAGACTTCGTCGATTATTATACGTAGCAGTTGTAGCGGGGCTGCTTGACATTGAGGCTGGTAACCGATTTAAACTTACATCCACGGGAGAACTTCTTACTAGCAACCATCCTTCGAAATCTCGAAATTACGTTTTGACTTGTAAGTAGTTTTATGACTGAAAATTATTTTCAATCAACGAGTAAACCTCATCCCATATTAGAAGACCTACCCGAAAGAAGAGACACCCCCAAATAAAAGACACCCTTGAACAGTTAACATACAAGGACACGCTACAAGACCTGGGGACTTCTGATATGAGAGGGTGTTTAGTACATATGAAAAGCTTTCGTTAAAATAACCCCCCTACTTTCACTTTCACCTTGTATATACAGTGACAGTTCAAAAACAAGTGCGACACTTTTATCTTGAACTAACCTCACTCAAAAGTTGACTAAATTTTAAATTGATCTCTTAAATGCTAACAAATGGAGTGACTAATCCGAATTTCTTTATCGAATTTTGTCATGTTCATACTGTTTTAGTTTTAGTTAATAACCTATGTATTGTATTGTTTTTTTGTGCATGAAAATGGCACACCTTTTAATGGTATAAATTTGCGTACTACGAGCTACGGATTATTTATTCTTGAAAGTGAGAATCAAATTAAAAGGAAGATGGCAAGAAAATGTTTTAAGAAGCGCACTTCTCTGTCATTCTAATATGAAGCGCAGAACTTTCAAACTGATACAGTTATTGCATACTATTGGATCAGATAGATACAAGTTTTTAAATCATACTTACATCTAGACCTACGACAGCTCTCGGTTCTTTGAACCGAATCTTTTCGAGGAACTGTATCCAACACACAGTTCCTTTCCAGGAGCTGTAGTGAATACACAGTTCTCCGTCAGGAACCCAGATCCCCAGAACAGTTCCTGCCCAGGAACCAGATCCTCCGAACAGTTCCTACCCGGGAACTGTGTCGACCCGAACAGTTCTTGGCCGGGAACTGTGTCAACCCGAACAGTTACTTTTCAGGAACTGTGTCCACCCGAACAGTTCTTGCCGGAACTGTGTCCACTCGACCAGTTACTTTTCAGGAACTGTGCCTACGGAACAGTTTCTTTTCAGGAACTGTGCCTACGGAACAGTTACTTTTCAGGAACTGTGCCCACGGAACAGTTACTCTTCAGGAACTGTGTCTTAGTGAATTTTTCGATGGTGTCCAGGTCGAGCTGTGGGGTGATTTTTCTCAAAGATAAGTGACGTTGTGTTCGTAACAAAACCTGCTTAGAATCCTGTTTCATGAAGAAAAAGTAGGTTTCACCCAACGAGAATGATTATCTACACATACGAACTTTCTCATTGTACAGAGCACCCTCTTTACATATTTAAGAGACAACATGTGATTTTTACGCAATGGGGGCTTTCTGTCCCTGTGCTGGAAACAGTAGAGTTGCTGAAAATTTTAATTTCGCCACAACATCGATACATACGTATATGTGACTTTCACAAAATCTACAATCGAAGGAAAGTTTCCATTCTATCATGAATCTAGGATGTAGTGTGTTTCCAAGTAATGCGCATATTGTTTGAAAATAAACTTTTTAACGGACTACGGGTGTGACAGTTCCGTTTTAGTTCAGATCTGATGATCTGTTCCCACCAAAGAACTGTATGACACAGATCAGTTCCGACCAAAGAACTGTTCGAACAGTTCAGTTCCGATCAAAGAACTGTATGACACAGATCAGTTCCGATCAAAGAACTGTATGACACAGATCAGTTCCGATCAAAGAACTGTATGGCACAGATCAGTTCCGACCAAAGAACTGTATCACACAGATCAGTTCCGATCAAAGAACTGTTCGAACAGTTCAGTTCCGATCAAAGAACTGTTCGAACAGTTCAGTTCCGATCAAAGAACTTGAGGGGTGTGGGTGTGGGTGTGGGTGTGGGTAATAGTTCCGATGTTCTCATTTTACAGACACCCATACCCACACCCACACCCTTGACTAAAAAAAATAAAAAATGATGGCACTTGTCATACTTGTTGGTGCTTTTAGCCTAAAGAAAAGAATGTTATACAATATTGTAAATATTTAGTATTATTCACCTAGCTATAGCCAGTCTATCTTTCGCAATACTCTTCTGGAGATTTGGGTAATCTGCTGGGGCATGAGGTGGGGTTGTTTGATCGAGTAGTTTTTGCTATTTTTTGCATAAAAAATTATGAGGATGCTAAAAGTCAGTCTTACTAACTTTGCGAAGGAAAGGTATCAGCAGCTGAAACTTTGGGGTTAGTAGTTTTAAACCTGGATCTTTCGAATGCGCATAAAACACGCCAAAATGAATTTTATCGAGTGCTTCGATTCCTTGGTGCTGTCGCAAAAGCTCTCTTAAAAGAGACATGATGTGTATATACTTCGTACTATCTACAGTGAATCAGACCCTATGGATGCTATTATAACTTATTATAGAAATTATATAGAGTAGAACTATTATGGAATGGATTTCTTTTGAATTACTATGTAATTCATTTGTGTCATCTAGTGTAGGTTAGAGGATAAATTATTACGAAACCCGTCTGCAACGAGAACGAGTAGTCGCATGTAACAAAGATGGAACATTCTTATCGGATTGTTATTATATGTGGAATTAATGAAGAGAAGAATGTAATGTACGATAATGAAAAAGAAAGTAAGAGCTAATATTGAAGTAGGTAATGATAACTATAAAGAAAATAATCAAGCGTGACAAAACCACTTGATGAAGAAAAAAAGATTCAGAACAAAAAAGAAGAGCAAGGAAAAACAGAAAGATTATGTGAACTAAATATACAATTGTTAATCACTAGATAGGCCAGAGTAGAGGAAAAATAACTATAGAGAAGAAATTAAGAACAATAACTAAAGTTAGTGGTCATCGAGAGACCTCTATGGTCACCCTCAGGATTTCCACCAATGAGACGATGGTAACTGCTCAGGGTGGCCATCAGCTGTTCGCAGCATGAGACCGTAGCAGATGATGTCATCGGTTATGTATTGGATATCCTGTGATGGCGGTCGAATAACCCATTCCAATTCCTTGTTAGAAAAATTTTTATCGATTTGAACATTCTTATCTCTTAATAAAGTTTCCGGACGGGTATTATCAGAATTTAGACACTTAGGATTGACACGACATTGAAAGACAAGCTGATGATATTTTCCATTATTATTTGGATTGTTCCAAGGTTCAGCATATCGTGGATGTGCACAATATTCAATGCTGGGGCTGACATAGACAACCGTTTCTCCTGCAGCCCAACATCCTGGACCTGTCTTTAGACCGGAACTCAAAATTAAATCAGCAAAGTTCGATTTTGTCCCATGATATGCCACATACCAGTGGCCCCATTTCCTTTCAAATTCGTTTTCATTTTCAGCAACTTTGATGCCAAAACGCGTCCAACCTATTTAATACAGAGAGTGATGATGTACTGATGTGGATGCCGTCTCAAATACTTAAAGGTTTTTGAGCTGAAATTTTGTCTACAAATAGAGAATGCATAGAGTAGGATAAACTCACCATAATACTTAGACATCCTACGATTTGGTTGAGATATCGGCTCTTCAATGTAATAGTTCTTTATAGTCCCATTCGCCGCGTGAAATCAAAATCTCGAGCTTTCACCGGAAACTTTACCCTCCATGAGATCTCTAATACACTAGGTTATCTACAAAGTTTCAGAATTTTTGCATGAAGTATCTTGGAGTTATCTATTTGGAAAATATCCATACTTAATACAATACATCATCTATATATGAGTGAAGAGCATAGCCATTGTACCGTTGTGTTCCGAAAGGAAAAACGCATATAAATCGAGATTTATCCAATCGATTTTGATAGTTTTTTTTAATTTTTCTGGTCTCACGGTGGTCATTTACTTCTGAAAAAAATCAAGTCCCATGTGTTTTAGTTTCCGAGAAATCATAGCATTAGTGTTAAATACCTAGCTTCTAATGCGACCTGTCAGAAAAAAACTAATTTTTTAATTCTTTTGCGATTTTCTTTTAATTGGTTTTCTGGCTACAGCTACAGTACTGGTCAAGAGCTTTCAGAATATGCCATTTCTTTTAGATCTAGAGAAATTCCTATGGATGAAACATTGTCAATAATGCGCTTTGAGACACTTTTTCATTTTTGCGTAGGATGACATTACAATTAATCGCGTTTTATTTGGAGAAATTTTCTTGTTTTTATTTTTGATTGGGTCTCAGAGAGAACTCAGATAAAATGTTTTCAGAAGTGAAAGAGGTTTGTTTCGTAAACTTCGTTAGCGTAAACGTTTTATACAAAATGAAAAAAAATGAATTTCAGACAAAATGTAGGGGGACCTTTTTAATTTTGTTTTCTTTATAGCTGAAGGAATACTTAATCGTTTGCGGCAAAAATGTGATCCTTTTTTAGACTTACAGAGTAGAGTAGTATCTCAAAAAACAATTGAAAGCCTCTTTCTGTTCTAGAGAAAATTCAATTTTATTATACCAGAAAATAGTAGGGCGACATTTTTGTTAAAAAAGTGTAAGACGACACCAAAGTCATCGAGATTTTGTTTTAAACACGTTTTATTTAAGAAAAACTCATTGGGTATCAAGAAAAATACAAGGAAAAAAATTCCGAGATGTGAAATAGTTTTACAGAAAAGTGCTGAGTGATTTTAGTGGAAGTAATTTATGCACTAGGACTGTAGGCATATACAGAAATTGGCTATAATATCGCGAATCTCCACAACGACACTGGATAGTGTTGGAAAAATATTATTGTCATGTACAATCGATATTGCTCTATCAAACGTAATACTCAGTTCTCTCGAATTATTAAATTTTTTTATCGATTTCTTTTTCACAAACGGTAATTACAATGGCTGTACTCTTCACTTATATATAAATGATTTCATGCTAATATCGTGATATTTACAAGATAATTCATTCAAATTATGTTCGGAAGCGTTGTAGGTAAGTACCCAGGAGGGCAAAGAACGAGTAAAAAGACTAGTCACTTCCCTAGTCGTGTTGTCATGTCCAGTCTGGTCTTTTTCTCAAACAGTCCTGGCACATGACTAGTCTGGATTTACTTGTAGTCCATACATTACGTCTTGACTACTCAATTGATGGGCGTCCTAATTTTGGTGTGTCTAGTCTTTTTTTGAGAAAAAGAAAAGCCATCTATCGTCGTTTTGACGGTCGCCAAAAAAAAGCGATGATATAAAATATGAGAACATGTATGACGCCATGCATTCTAAACTATGGTTGAGTTCGGACTAGTCTCTTTTAAAACGTTGAAGTAGAGCCATTAGAGTCGAACATACATACTAACTCGGCCCTTACCTAGTGTTTGGACGATTGAACCTTGCGATCGAGAAACTAACTTCTGGATGTTCATAAGTTATCATGAAAACTATCTCATGCTCTTGCGTTTTCTTCTGTTGATCATAAAAAAATATTTCATAAAAGAAGAAAATTGCCTGCGCATTTTTGACTAATATTTTCTCGTTACTATTAATTACTATAGACATCATTAGTTTCAAAGTCGAAAAAAATTTAATATAAAAATTAATCTTGGAATTATTTAAATTAAAAGGAAATTCAATACTTTTTATAATTTGTAGATTTTAAGATTAAAGTTTCAGTGAGTATGCTAAATTAATATAGATATAATTTTCTTTCTATCTAATAATGTATTGAAATTTAAAATAATAGAATTGATAGTTTCAACCAAATAAAACGTGGTGGCAGTACGAAGATATTCAAAACGTTACTAAACTAAATAGTTCCAACCTGCTTCTTATGTGTAATGACTTTTTAAATATATAGATTGGCATTTTCATCATAAGATAAGCCTTGTATACTTTATTTTTCTGTAGTACAGTTTCGGGGCAATCTCAACAAGCATTAAAAACTTTTCTGACTAGTCAAAATAATTCAGTTTAAAGTATTACCCGTCTGTCAATTGAATAGACGATAGTCATCTTGTACTTTAGGCTCCATAAATTAACGTAAACATGTCCCTATATGATGTTGCATTGTCTGAGCCTGAACAACCATCAATTATTCAATGATGACGGTCTCTGTGTTCAACTTTACTTGTTATCTTTGTTTTTTAATTATTTTTCCATCCTGTGACCTAGTTCGACGGAGTAGATGGACAATCGGGCTAGACATTAAAGGTTTGAGGAACGTGCCCGTCTAGTCTAGACATGGGTACAGGACGCTTCTTGTCATGGTAACTAGTCATGACTAGAGGCCTGCGGAGTTAATTTTTTTATTCCGAAATCCGACACCGACTCCGAAAAAATTTTCAGTCAGGACTCCAACTCCGAACCCGACTCCGAAAATTTTTTTTCTTGACTCC